TAGGAGGAGCCGTGGCCACGGGGCTGCCCCCACCCTTCCCATCCCATCCCATCCCATCCCATCCGGCACCACCCCGCTCATCCCCGGGGAGACATCGCCTGAGATGCCCCCTCTCCCCCCCGGGGAAACTGAGGCCCGTGTGAGTTGAGAGCCGGGGCCTGGGGGAGAAAGGAGGGAAGGGGGGCTCTAACCACTGAGCCTGCTGCCCCTTTGGAAATCCCAGCCCCGCCCCTTGAAGCACCTCGGGGTTGCGATGCAGCGCCCTCGTCACTAGAGGGCAGCTCAGGCCCGTGTTCACCAACACCTGTGTGTGAGCTCACGCTCGCCAGGGCAGAACCAACCCCCCATGTGCCGGGGGCCAGTGCAGAGAAGGGGGCAGCGTTGCCCAAGAGCTACAGCACGGGCCGGACACCTGGGTTCCCTGCCCGGCTCCGCCCGTCCCCGGGCCTCGGTTTCTCTGGCTGGAAAGTCAGGAAAAGCGGCTGGGTCGGAGCCGGACATCTCAGCTGGGGCCTGGCCGGAGCGGGGCCGCTCGACGCCCGCCAAGGCTTTGGCTCCGGGGATCCCCCATGCCCTTCGTGGCCGCAGCAGGTTCAAGGCCGAGGCCCCGGCGGGGTCGGGAGCGTCTCCCTTAGGCGGGCAGCAGTAGCGAGCCGTTGTCCCCCAGCCAGATCTGGGCTGGTGCCCCGGGACAGTGTCCCCGTGATGAGCCCGATAACATCAGGGGGGTCCGCTGAGCCCCGCGGCCCCAGCCCCGCCGTGGAGAGCAGGTGCCTAATTCCCCTAGGTGCCAGTCCACGCCAGCGGGGGCCGAACCCAGGCATCCCAACCTCCAACCGCTACACCGCGCAGCCTCCCGCGCAGAGCCGGGAACCCGAGTGCCCTGACTCTCGGCCCCACCGCCTCCCTGCAGCAGATCCCCCCGCTCCCCACCCCCCGGAGCTGGGGAGGGCCCCGGGCTTGGGGGTGAACCGCACCGACCCCCTCCTTGAGAGACATCCAGCCCCCAGGGCTCCTCCCCCGCCGCAAAGGGGGCGGGCCTTTGGGAGGACAAGCCCCGCCCACACTCCTGGAAGGGCCTTACCTGCGGCTGCCGGGGATGCTGGGGAAGTCGTGATGCTCCATGTGGTAGCCCACGTTGAAGGTCAGCCAGTTCAAGGGGCCGTAGTAGGAGAAGGTGTCGTAGCCCTTGAGGAACATGTAGTGCTCGGCGATGAAGTGCCCGGAGATGGGGTGGATCCCCATGGCCAGGCACGACCCGGCGATCAGGTAGACCACCGGCTTGGCGCCCCACAGGAGGTAGAGGAGCAGGTCGAAGGCCACCTGGACGCCGGCGTTGAGGATCTCCATGGCCGTGACGGGCTTGGGGTTGACGCAGAGCGGGCGCAGCGTGTAGAAGAAGGGCTGCAGGAAGAGCCAGAGCAGCTTGCGGGCCGGGGAGCAGAAGAGCCGGCCCTCGAAGTCGGTGGGCACGTCCACGTCCAGCCCGTCCCCGCCCAGGTAGCGGTGGTGGTCCACGTGGTACTTCTTGAAGGAGGCCGAGTAGGGGACGCCCACGGGCAGGTTGGCGAAGATGCCGAAAAGGCGGTTCCAGCGGGCCCGCCCGTTCCCGAAGGGCACGTTGTGCGAGATGTCGTGGATGGCCAAGGTCATGGAGTGGTTGAGGCAGCCCCCGAAGGCGTACGCCCAGAAGACGACCCACTTCCAGGGCAGGTCCCGCACCAGGTAGCAGGCTGCCACCTGGGTCAGCACCATCAGCGACACCACCCACTTCAGCTGCGGGTCCGGCCCCATCAGCTGCTTGATCTCCGGGTACTTGGCTGCGGGGAGGGAAGTGGCCTCGTTAGCCTGGGGGGTCTCCGGGGGAAGATCCTGAGTTCGAGTCCAGCTGCACCAGACCCGAGGATCCAGGGGGCGGAGGCGGGGTTCGCACCTGTCAGATCCATCCAGCCCTCCCTTGACGTGGGATTTAGGCGCTCCCTCGATCCCGGCTCTCTCTCTCGGGGTGGGGGGGAAGGGATGGTAGCCCCCAGCCTCCTTGCCCTACCCTGCCGCCTCTCGGGGGGGGGGGGCCAGCGTCCCCCTCCCCCTCCCCGAGCTGGGAAGAGGCCGCCTCGCCCTTCGTCTCAAGGGAGCCCGCCCTACGCCGGACCCCAGGGCCCCTCCCCCAGGTCTACGCACAGCCAAGGGGGCTGCCGTGCTGGGGAAGGAGAGAATCCCGTATTTTCTCATCCATACTGCGCCCCTCCAAAGAAAAACCCAGCTGCTGGAAATCAGAGGGCGCGTTATACACCTGGAAATACGGTAAGAGCCGTTTCTGCCCTTTGCTGGCCAGAAAACAAGAGTCCCATT